CTTTTTAGGCAAAACAAAAGTGTCAAAATAGCAGATAGATAGAGCGACCCGGCTCAGTTGAGGCCGGGTCAATAAAAATCGGCTGGCCATGGAACACCCAGTGCGTCGTTAACGTGGCTGGAACCCTAACAGTAACAGTAACTGTGACATGCTTCGTAGTTAAGTGAGTTACAGATACTTCAAAGTATCTCAAACTATGCATCTACCCGAGTGCCTCTGTGGATGTGTGTGTGTACGTGCCTGTGTCTGTGACTGTGTGTGTGTGTATGTGGGGCTTGTCGACTAAGTAAGAACGCGTGTAATGCAATTAGGGGACGACAACAATGTCAAATTGAGACATGTGCAACTACTGTGCGGAAATGTGAAGAGAAGTGCATCCGCAGAAAGGGTTGGGCCCGCAAGCATTGGGAACTCTTACACGGCCACAAATGCGAGACAATGTAACCACATTGTGGAAAAATCATTGTGTAATGGCAAACAATTACAAGCTGACACAAAATGGGAAAATTGTCAATGCGATGTTTATTGGTAAAAGCTTTTGGAATGGCTTCGTGTCGACAATCGAGACTAAATAAATAAAGTTCGATATGTTTGTTACTATATATATCAATTGTTTAGACTTATATATTGTATAAATTAGGTCGAAGTCGTTATTAAACTAAATGATTGTATATTGAAGAAAAACAACAAATAGATTATTATTTATAATTCATGTTTTGTAAGCTTTTATTTATTTTACATAATTTGTATTTACATTGCAGTTTATTTTTGAACCTATTTTAATGTGAAAACAAAAATTATTTATTAGGCGTAATAATTTAATTAGGGGTTTTCGATCTTATTGTTTTTTTTTTTTTTTTTAATAATTTATGTTATCTTGTATAAATAAATATTAAAGAAGAAGCGGCATAGTTATAACAAAGACTGACTAAATTGAATGGAATTGAATTGAATATATTTTATCATTGAAATATTAATTCGTAGGTTCACAATTGTATAATTCATAATTTTTTTATGAAATTAATTAAAGCAGCTCGTCAGCTCAGACCAAGATAAACGTAAGGAACTTCTTAAATATTATGCTTTGAAAATTTACGAAAAATATTGATAGTTATTTTTGAAGTTTTTGTTTTTACTTATTTTTATGATTTTCTGGATTCTTGTTAAGAGCATATAATATAAATGAATTGTAATTTATTTAGGAATTTATGTGCATATATGATTTTAGAAAATTTAATTGTACTCAATTAATATAAAAGAGGCCTTAAGCTTAAGCAAAATATCAATAATTAATTATTTCTATTGCATGTAATATATTTTAGTAAAGGTGAATCACATTAAACACACAATAAACTCTTTATAAATAAACTGTTACATAGATAATGATTTTAGATATTGACAAATACCCAACAGTTAAAGAAACAAGTTTCCATTAAGCTATCACAATAAAAGAGCTAATGCTACTTATTATTATCAGGCTTAAAAGCATTTCTTCAACCAACTTAATTTTAATATTTCACATCGAATGATTTCTTGCCTAAGCCAAGCTCCCACAATAGCGTGTGATATAAATATATGATATTGAATTAAGTAGATGGACTCACCTTTGCTATTTGTATCTTTTATATTTATATATATGTATATATATAGATGTATATAGGTGTAGATATACCCTTGTTGTTTTTAGCTATTGATGAAGCCAAGTGGCATCGCCTCGGCGGCGTTTGTCATTGCAAAAGGCGGGCGTCGGCATATCAAATGGTGCCAGCTGACAGCATAGACAATGTACAATTACCGGAGACAAGTTTTGGGCTTGGCCCACTCGAACCAGCGGCTCTGCGATGCTGTCATCAGCATATCCAATCATCCATGTGTGTATCTACGTACGACGTACGCAGCTATCGCTTGGCGCGTGATTGTGATCATGGGCAACAACTTGACGCCGGCAAGCACCACTCGATGGCTGCCGCCTTTGTGCGGTGGCTGTCAACGCATCAAGCCACAAAATGGCGTCCATTTCTAATGCGGCCCTTGGCTGTGGCATTATTGAATGGCGGCAAATCGATTTGCAACGTTTTAATTGCCGCACAAATTGAGCCAAGAGGCAACTTCATTTGCTCCGGCATCGTGGACATTATTCGGATTTCGTATTCGACATTTCGTATTTCGTATTCTGGGTGGTCGCACAAGGCCACTTGGAGTGCGAACGTGCCTCGGGCACTGGCCAATTGCCGATTGCCAATGCCTGGGCCCGGGACAGGTCATTAAACGGCAACCCCCCGGCCAGCCAGGGGTAGCACTCGCTGCTCGTAGGGGTGCTCCTGGCTGACTGCTGGCTGCTGGGCAGTAAATGGCTCACTTTTGGCAGACGTTGTGCACTGCCTGCTGCTTAATCAGCCAGGGGCAGAACCAGGGGCTAGAGAAGATGCCACCCTAGTTGCGGAACCGATACGTTTAATTGTGGCCTAAAACTGACACACACACACACACACACACACAATGATAGACATAGACAAGTCCGTTGTCTGGCTGAGTGAAGGCGACAATATATCCATCAATCTGAGCTCGCAGGATAACACGCTTGCCATCCTTGTCTATGGCTGTTGCCGTTGCCGTTGCCGTTGCCGTTGCTGTTGCTGTCGACCGCCCGCTGTGACTTTCACAAAATATTTTGGTTGTACGCAGTGCGGATTCGTGCAATTATGGGCCTGTTTGTGGACAATGTGTGTCGAATGCTGAGCGACATGAACCGGGCCACAGCACACATCCTGGCCACCGCCATGTATCCTGCGGCGAGCTGTTGCCAAAACACAGCCAACTCGGCCGAGTCGAGCAACAAGTTCTATGGTTGACCAGAAGATAAGACCCGAAAGGAAAAAACTCGAAAATAAAGGAACTGAAAAAGGAAACAGAATCTCGCTGCGTTTGCTGGCCAACCCACCACACACTGGCCAGGACAGAGCCGCAGGCTGTCCCAGATATTGAAATATCTGCGGGGACGGGGTCGAGGCGTGGCAGGAGGGCGCGTCCCGTATACTTGTGCTGCCACCTAGGACGCCACAGCTGAGACGCAATGCAATGTAGACATCACTACTTGCCCCTTGCCACATAATACCTTTCCATTTTGCATGCCACATTTGCCAGTTGCCAGTTGACAGTTGACAGTTGGCCCAAAATCAATAGTACATGGCCATAATGGCCAATGTCATCAGAGAAAATAACAATAACAAAACTGATGTACGAAATTGAAGCAGCAAATGAGCCAGCAGCTGGACCAATCAAGCCACAGAGTCTTGGGCAACCCCTAAGGGCAAGAGAAACCTTAATTAAAGACAAACTCCAGATAGCCATCGAAGCACTGCACAGTTCCTGGTAATGCGCGTGCTAATGGCAATGCAATGGAATGCAGTTGCCAGTTCTAGATCTCTCGCACAATTGCCAATTGTCGATTGTCTAGATCTTCGCATTTGGCACGTTCCTAACCACTGTGCCTCGGCTATTCAATGGGCGACGCACTTCTATAGAACTGGCAAGCACCACGACCACACCCAAAAATAAATAATGCCCGTATGGCAACATCGGCATCGAATGCGAGCATCAAATTCAAAAGTTATCGTAAATTAAGAGATCTGACAGTTTGAAGCTGGACCAGTTGCCTTATAGGGCCCTAGTCTCTGGCTAAATTGGAATCTTGTAAATTAATAGATGCTTCAAATATGAGAAGCGATTTGAGTTATGAATTTGCCTAATTCAAATCGCTTCATTGCTGACAGCATCTCAAAATTTCAGCTCATGCGAGGTGGATGACAGACAGAGCCAGAAAATAATGTTGATCACACTTTTGATTGGGCAAAGTTTTTGTTTCTGAATTCTTGAATTATTATTTGCATATATAAATAAATATAATAATAATAAAAAACATTTAAAGAGAACCTGCCGAGCAATAACAATAAATTAATTATTTTCTATGTATTTTGCTGATATCAAAAACACAAAAAATTGATTACACAATGAGCTTAGGGCCGAAAATAAAATATATCGAATTAATGGGTTGCTCAAACTTATCAGAACATTTACTTTTAGAAAAATGTTTAACAATAAACATTGCCGCACCCAAGAATATTCCACTTTGGGCGGAAGTTGCCAAAAGAACGATAAATGTGTAGAAAGACGTGTAAATATAATTTTTTTAACATATGTATATTTTGAGTCCACTATGAATACCCCATTTAGATATTGGGGGTTTCTCAAGAAATTGCTTTTACTTAATTAATACTCAGTCGCAGCCTTCTGCAATAATATTTTCAATATATCTACTAAATTTTCTCTAAAATATCAAACGAATTCCTTATATATTGCCTTACATCATACCGATTCGTTCTATATTGTCACACAGTAACTGTAAATACAAAAAAACCCCAAAGGAAATAGGTAAAATGAAAACCCCACTTTTGGCGTAGTACGTCAGCTTTCTTACCCAGTCGTATTCCAGTAAAGATAAACAAATAAGGTTTAGTATATACAATTACGCATAATTCATATATTTTGCGATAGCTTTCGCTTTTATCATACATAGACCATATATAATACATGCACTTATAGGTATATCTCTATACAGATATACGTACATCTAGAGCTAGACTAAGATAATGAGATCGTTGATTCTTTGTGTGTAGAACTCGTGTTTGTCATTGGGGCAAAAGGCGTAACATTTAACTAAAAGTAACAAACATTCAATTGATTTATATATGTATATATATATCTATATAGGTATATATGTTCTTGTATTTAAATGCAATAAAATTAAATAAAATAACAAATTATGATTGTAATTATAATTATAATTGTACAGTCTTTGAATGACCGATGAAGGTCTGAGGTTTTCTCTGGGAATTGGTATTGGTGTGTTACAAACTGAATGCGTCTACTACTGGCTATAAGGTACATACGATAATATAACTATATAAACATAGTAGATGGATAGAGACTTAAGAATAAAGTACAGTGGGGCAAAAGTGATCTCTAATGCCATAGATATTTTGGAATTGTTCTGTTTCGCAATACTTTTTACTAAGTTTCCATTTGATTTGTGTCTAGTTTGTCTTCCTTTGGCTTTTTGCAGTTTGTAGCGCCAATGCGACAGCTATATAGCATCGGGTCTATATGGAGAGTCGATTGGACTAGTTGTGACTGGTTGGGCTCCTGGGCTCCAGGATCTGCCTGTGCTTCACTGGGGCAACGGCGGCGGCGACGATGACGGCGGCTGTGTGGGCGAGTAGGTGAGCTGGGGGCGTAACCTGCGACTCGAACTCAAAGTGGGCGGCGCTAAAGCTGAAGCTAGAGGTGGATCTGTAGCTGTAGCTGTAGCTGTAGCTGTAGCTGAAGCTGTGCTGACTGCTACTCCGGGCCAGGCACTTCCCATGCCTGGCGGCGCTCAGCACTCTGGATGCGGCTGCATCCTGAACATAAAACCAATAAATTGCGATCAGCTGACCAATCTATCTGCTCATGATCTCATCGATAGTGAAGCCCAGCGTGCGCTTGGGACGCTCCGCGGTGGCTCCACCTGACGAGGACAGATCCAGGGCGGGCGTATTGTGATTGGAGCCGGGACTGACCAGCTGCACAGGCTGCACAGCAGGCTGGCTGGGGCGAGGAGCTGCTGCTCCTGCTGCTGCAGCAGCTGCTGCTGCCTGAGCCGCTGTGGCCGATTCGCTGTGGCTCTGCAGATGACTCTTGAGATTCGCACGCTGGTTGAAGCTGCGCTGGCAGATGGGGCACTTGTGGGGGCCTTCCTCCAGGTGGGTGACCTTGTGCACGGCCAGCGTGCGCGACTGGCAGAAGCCCTTGCCGCAATCGTTGCACTTGAACGGCTTCTCCTTCGAGTGGATGTAGCGATGATCGCGCAGATGATCCTGGCGCCTGAAGGCCTTGCCGCAGATGTCGCAGGAATAGGGACGCTCGTCCGTGTGGGTGCGTTCGTGGATGAGCAGATTGTAGGACTTGGTGAACTGGCGATTGCAGTACTTGCAGATGAACTGCTTCTTGGGCCGGCTGCTGCCACTGCCGCCTCCGGCTCCGGCTGCTGCGGCGCCGCTCAGCTTCAAACTGGGCATGACTCCAAAATGGCGAGCGGCGGCGTGCAGCGTATGCAGTCCGGCGGGATAGGGACGCACATGGGGAGGGCCATGAGCGTGGGGATGGCCGTGATGGTGCGGATGATGGGGATGTGAATGCGGGTGCGGATGGTGATGATGCCCGGCTGCAGCAGCTGCTGCCTGTTGTTGCTGCTGCTGCTGGTAGATGGCGGCATTACGTATCCATTGGTTCATGAGCAACGCCTGCTGGTGCACGGCCACGGGATCGGCATTGGCTCCGGCATAAACCGGATAATGGCCATGCGGATGCTGCTGTTGCATCTGCAGCCAGAGGCGATGATGTTGCTGATGCTGCTGCTGCTGGTGTTGCTGTTGATGCTGTTGTTGTTGTTGCTGCTGCTGTTGTTGCTGTTGCTGGTAGTGTGCCATGTGACGCAGATGCAGCTGCGTGGCCACTGCCTCATCGGCGGCTGTGACTGAGCCAGTGCGTCGCAACGGCTCCTCAGTGGGCGTGTGCGGTGGCGTCAGCATTGGTGACAGGCTGCTTTCGCGCTCCTCTTTGATAACTATGAAATCGTCCTCGACAAAGTCTGAAGATTGCACAAGAAAAAAGAAACGAAATATTGTGATTTAGTTCAATTGTTCTAAAAACTGTGCTAAATATCAAGCACTTTAGCTCGCTCAACGCGCGCTTTGAGCAGGAGAGCAAAAAGCACTTTGAGCTCTCTCACTTTCGCACTGCTTTGCCGTCGGCTTTTTCTCGTGCTTACCTTGTTCTCTGCTTATGTTAAGCTCGTCGTCCACGGTTATGTTGCTGATGGGCGAAGCTGAAGTGGAAGACATATTCCCTTTTTTTGTCTTCGTTAAAGTTTGTTGTTCTTAGTTTGTGTTTTTAGCACTTGCTGTATTGCTTGTTCTTTTCTTGTTCACACTGTCACTTTGCACTAACTGTATAATTTGTTCTTTTTGCTTTGGTCTCTGGCTTTTACGTCTTTTTTTCAATTGCTGTTTTGTGTTTGCTGTTATGCGCTGTTCTTTTCCATGCGACGTGCCCACGACAACGTCTCAACTCAAACTGAATTCTGCTTTCGTTTTGTTACTCTCCGACTCAAACTCGTGAAAATGTTCAACGACTCAAATCGTATATCAAGTGCGCTCTTGCCCTCTCGCTCTCACTTATCCGCTCTGTTTAACTGATAGCGTGTATACGTGCGTGCGTGTGTATGTGCGTGTTTGTGCATTGAGTGAAGTGACTTCTGCTGTGGCTGCTGCTGCTGCTTCTGCTGCTGTGGCTGCTGCTGCTGCTGTTGCTGTAGCTGTGAGTAGCGCTCGTTAATAACTGAATGCAACTGCGGCGTCGTCGACCGGTTTTGAAGCGAACCAACAGCAGCTGCCTTTTTGCCGTCGTCGTCGCTCGCTGTTGTTATTGTTGTTGTCGGGGTTGAATTTATTTGGAAATGGCAGATACGTACACGCCTACCTGCTGCCCAACGAAGCGCTCCGATTGGCTGATGCCAACTACCAGCGGCTGCCGTATCTGTTTCGGCTCTTTGTGTTTTGTTTTTGTATGCACACAACAGTGTACTTTTGTGCGCTCTGCGCGCGTGTTCGGCATCGTGCAGGAACGACTCCACGACCCAGCCACTCGGCAGCATCGCCTCTCGTTCTCCCGTTCTCTGCCCGTGCTGCATGATGCTTGCTGCTCACTGGCAGTCAGCAAGCGGAAACTGTTGGGCTGATGGTCGGACGCCGTTGTCGGCTGCTGTAGCTGCCGATGCTGCTGCTGCTGCTGCTGTCGATGCTGCTTCTGCTGCTGCTGCTGGCAGGCAGCCATCAGCCCGGAGACGACCCGCATCCCACCCAGGCGCATGCCCCGGCCAGCTGGCCCTGTATATCCTGCTCCTGCTGCTGCTGATGCTGCTGCTGCCGGTTGCTGATGCTGCCGTTGTTGCTCGTGCGGCTTTTTGCCTCGCCCCAGGATATTGTAATCTATTGTCCTTCCTCTTCTGCTCCTTTTTTGTTTTTGCATGTGCGTGTGCCTGATTCGTTTTCATTTAAATTTTAATTTGCCACACAAAATCAGAAATCTCTTTTTGACTGCCTCCCACGTTTTACACTTTCGCAGGAAAATTCAATTAGCCAGATCAAAGCAATTGTTCTCTAAACTCATTTTTCGCTCGGGGTGTACGCATTTCCTCCTCATTTATTCTGAATTTCCATGTGATACGTTACATTGGCGGGGTTTCAAAAAAGTGCACAAATTACATTTGGCAGTTCATTTCAACAGCAAATTAATCAAATTTATTGTTGGTTTTATACATAAATAATATATATTACTGTTAAATATGTTCATTTTCTGGTGTTTTGTTAAGTTAATTAGTCAAGTTTGTTTGTAACAATTTAAGCATTTGAGACGCTTTAAACATTTCATTTAAACCCTGAACAACAAAAAAAACTGTCTTTAAAATATGTTTATAGCTAATTGAATTGACTGCGAGTCAAGTAGCGGCACTTTATCGTCTCCGCACAACAGCGAGAAGGAAGGAAAATCGTTTATTCAATTTTCTATAATTTTCCTCTTCTTTTCCGCTGCGGCTATTGGCAATAATAATGTCAATTTGTCAGTAGATAATGATTATTTAATGCGGTAAATTGATGCACACAGATTTGCTGCCATGCTTAAACTTGCCATAGCAAATCGCTAAACTCGAAGCAGTTAAGTTCATGTCGAGCGCGCTGTAAGAGAACAAAATTGAAAAACTATGATATTTAAAAAAAAAAAAAATGCAGCAAATTGTACTCAACTTTTGTAAATGTTTATATGCAACATAAAGAAAAATAAGTCAAAAATAGTAGGCTTAAAAATAAATTGATGTCATTTTTAACAATTTAACATAAAAAAATTATAAATATGAAATTAAATTCAGCTACAAAACATAAGCAACTAATTATCTTTAATTATTATTATTATTTTTAAACAACCAGTTATTCATGTACCGAATATAAAATTATGAAATGTAAATGATTTTATTTAAATTGCATATTTGTGTAATACTGAGGTCTATTAAAAAGGAAACTAAATCATTGTTATTATTTCATTAAAATAAATATGCTATAATAGAAAACCTTTTCAAGTCACCGATTGTTTTCAATTGCTTTAAGACTTTCAATCTCAATCAGTCAACTTTAACAATGAAAGGCTTGTTCACTGTTTGTTGTTATCGAAAGTGATTTTGCTTTCGGCGGATACTTGAAATCGGGAACACATTTTATTAGGCTTATCAGCAAGGCAGCCAGTTAAATAAAGTAATTTCGAGCTATAAACTATAGAAATGTTAAGTAGTAATACTAATACTGTATGCTATATATACATACATACAATATATAGATAACAAATTTCTTAGACTTTGATTTGAAAGCAATAGAAAAGCAAGACAACAGCAAAATTTTTTTTCTTTTTAATAGATTGCGATAGAAGATATATATTAAAGATCAAACAAAAAACATTTTTATAAATATAATAAAAAGTAGACTAATTTAATATAAATTACAATATACCTATGACAAAAAGTACTGAATGTAATTTGAGGAAAATATCTATTAATATATGTACATGGAGTATATATGTACTTAAATTATTAACTATGAGATTCTGTTTCCAAAAGAAGCAGAATCGAATCGAAAAATACCCATAATCTATTTTTAAATATTATATATATATATATGTGTATTTAATATACATATATTAAAATTATTCAATTTTAAATTCCTTTCGATTTCCCTCATCCATTGCCAAACTTCTGTTGGCCACATTCAATGATTTTCGTGGTTTTACCACACATTAATGCAACCAGCAAATCCATCAATTAATTAATAGTTTTCCCAGCGGAAATTGGCTCTGGCTCTAAGCCAAATCCAAGCACCGACTAAGTCCGGGTCAAGTCAACAGAGACTTGGCTGGGCCGAAGCCTGTGCCCAGCTTAGTGGCACACTTTTCCTGCTCTCACCCGGCGGGACTTAGGGCAAGGAGTCACTACTGTGCCGCGGCAAGCCAATTACAAAATATTTACTCAACAATTTTTCGTCAATTTTCCCAATTCTCTAAGACAACAGACGAGTCAAATGCAAAGTCAACTGGCTAAATCAAATATCCTGGCTAAGCAAAAAAAAAAAAAACTCTAAAATTCCCAATTTCACATATGTGTGTGTTGCTGTTGTTGTTGTTTCTTTTGGCTAGCAGCTTTCTTGTGGCAACTGGCAAACGCCGCCGTGTTGACACTTGACAAACAGTCGGCGAACTTTTCCATTTCAAAGTGTTTCCCACAGCCAATCGGAGTGCACGCGCAGTAATTAACATCATGTCATAAGTGTACAGAAAACTACAACAACAAAAGAAAATAAATAATAATAATAGATAAAAACACAAACACAACTCGCACTGAGTCAGATGAAAGACCCAGACCGAATATTTCCCAGCGCGCACACACACGCACACAGCTTTGATATATGGCAGCAACTGTCAACTTCCTGTGAGCAGACGACACATGTAGAAAGGATTAACTTGACACACACACACACATCTGCTGCTGTTTATTTGCATAAGCATCGAGTCGAGCACGGAAACGGAAATTGCCCGCCTTGACTTGATCATAAAAAGAGCAGCAAGAGAAAGAGAGAGAGAGCGAGAGAGAGATAGCGAGAGAGATCTGGTCCAGGACCTGGCCAAGGATGCACTAATAAAGAAGTCATTAGGCCATAAAACCATAAAAACGAGCCAAAAACCAAAGCAGGCAACAGCTAACGGCAATTGCTCGACATTAGTAGCTCGGGCTGCCTGCGCTCTGGGTTTTTGGGCGCACAAAAAATGTAGAGCATAAAAAATATAACAACGAGAGCAGCAACAGCAGCAGCAGCAGAAGAAAAAATACAAATACAAAAATAAAACAAAATCATCATAAAACACACAAATTTGACAATTCAATTGGCTTTTTGGCCTTTGCTGTTGCTGCTGCTTCCTCCTCCTCCTCCTCAGCATTTTTTGTACCATAAAAACTGTCTTCGCAGAAGACCCTTGACCTTAGCTATCGTTGGCCTGGTTTTTAGCAACATTTGCGACAAACAATTTCATTATCCAACTGCCTCGTTTACGATTTCATTTGTTTTTTGCCATTTCGGCGAACGAAATTAGATTTTTTAGTGCAAAGTCGCGTTTGTCACCCAAAAACATTTCACGACCCAACGCATTTCGTTTGGTTTTTTCGTAACTTTCATATATTGATGATTTTTTTTTCACACTAAAAATGTCAGTGCTATTATATTTTTTGTGAACTTATTATATGCCCTGTTTTGACTGTGTTTTTAGAGCACTTGAAATGGCCTTCAAATAATTCTTTGAAGTTTCTTAATATAGCTCAATAAAAAATGTAGATCTTTCTTTTTGGCATTTGCCTGGAGTATAGAAGAAAGAGAGAATAATTAAATAGGCATGCACAAATGTAAGAAAAAATAATAATAACAGGAAAGAAGACACATATGTATGTATGTATATGCATATGCATCCATGTATACATAAATATTAAACGGTCAAATCTTGTCATTAGTTGCTAGAAAAATGAAATCACAGTAAATCATTTCATATACATATTGGAATTTTTTTTATAATACAAATGAACATTTTCTTAACAAAAAAAAATAAATAAAATAAAAATAAATACAAATATAATTACATATTAAAAACTGCATTTCTATGCATTCAAAGAGAAAAGAACATAAAATAAATAAAATTGTTAAGTTGATGTTTTGGATCAAATATAAACTAAAAACTATATTATATATATTTTCTCATATGAATCAGAGAAATTAAATTCAATTTGAAATAGTATTTATTTGTCAACTAATTCAAGATTAAACAAGAAAGAAGGATTACAATACAACCGGACAACAATTTAAGTGACAGTCGTAGCCCATACTCCATTCTATATTCTTCTTCTTGATTCTACATATACTTAAGAGACAGAGCTCGAGCTCTGGCTCATATTTCAAGGCAAAGTGAAAAGCAATTTGGCCAAACGCAAAGAAAACGTAAACAAACAATCAAAATAAACACGCGAAGCTGCTTCCAATGAAAACTGGAAAATGTGATTTTTCAGCAATGGCAAAAAGTCGCGAAAAGTAAAAGTCGAAAAATTGTCGCAGGCCTTGAGCTGAAATGGATTTCATAATTAGGTAAATATGCGCGAAATGCACTTTTATTGCGAAGGGGATGTGCCCGGGCAGAAGTCAAGGCTAGACGGTTGCAGTTCTTTGCATTGTCTCGATTTGCATTGCTTGCGAAAAGTATCTAAACACACCATAAACGCGTCACGCCCGCGACTCGCCATATCGACAATAAATACACACACATATACATATGCATGTATGCATGTGTGTAGTATATTGCAATGGCAATAAAGGCACCAAGGACATAGTTGGGCAACGAGCCGACCAGAAACCAAAACACCAAATTGCCAAAAGGCCAAAAAGGGGTGTACCCTTTACCAGCGTAATTAAAAGGGGTTGGCCCAGGTACATCGAGCCTTCCCAGCCCAAAATCGTGAGCAAAGATGCGCTCTCATTGTGTGCGCGCCTTGTGGTGGGCGCGACGCACTTTTACTCCTTGCAGTTACCTGGAAAATGGCAAAGGTGTAGCTGCTGAGGATTAGCTGCACTGAGCTGTAGCTAGAGTGAGTGTGCATGTGTGTGTGTGTGCGTGTGTGTGTGTGTGTGTGTGTGTGTATCTCTGACTTGTCACTGCTGCTTGGCCGTAGCGAAAGGCTGCAGCAAAGGGTTGCATTTATTTGGCAAAATAATTAGATTGATCCTCGGCTGAGCAGCAACGATTACTGGTCAAATTAGCGCTGCAGCAGGCTCCTCCCTTGCCACCGCCCGTGACAGCGGCTACTTAATGCAACGTCCGCTTATCGCCCGCCTGCGTGTGTGGCCATAAAATTGCGCCGTCTGCGATAAGGCGCAACAACAAAAATGTCGCAAAATCTAATAAAAATAAACACGCAGACTGAGCTCAGGTGTGTCAAGAGGGGGATGGGGAGGGGAGCTGTCAACAACAGCAACAACAACAACAACAAGAGCGAGAGCTTTTTTTTATGATCTGCTTGACTTTGATTTTAGCCGCCGCGCTTGTCATAAACCGCGGCGACTTTCATATTTGGCCGGCTGTTGATTTTCATATTTCTTCAACAGTTCAACAGTTCGCCCTGCGCTCTCCTTTTATTTGCGTTTGTGATTTGGCAATATGGCGGCGACGGCGGCAGCAGCAGCAATGGCGGCAGCAACAAAAAGCCAATCAAAATACGCACCAACCCCAGTGCTCAGCCCCCGCACTACCCCACTTCCACGCGCACGCACCGCTCTGCAGACACAATGGCCCCATAGGCCGCCCCCCCTCGGGGCGCAACGAGGCTTTGATTAATGCGTGCGCCTTTTGACCAGAGGCCTAATTGATTTGGCCAAGCGCAACTCTGGCTTGGCTCAGCTATTTTGAATGCTTTTCAATTAACCTAACGAAAAAGGTAACAAGAAAATAACAAAACGCGACTCCCGTTGCGCGCCTGAACCATTGAGCTCTAATTAAAGCGCTATTAATGATACGCCCACCCATTGCTAGCCGGGGCACTGCTCACTCGCCGCTGTCGCTCTCGCTCTAGCTGTCGCTGTCGCTGTCGCTGGTGCCCCGATGATATCGCTTACAGCACTAATCAGCACCAGAAATCCAATCCAAGTGTGTAATTAATAATGCTCCGTTTGGGTTTCCAGCGAACGCCGCTTGTAAAGTATTCAAATTACGCAGACGAAAAGTGTGAAAATGCGTTTTCTCCACTGACAGCGCCGAGGGCAGCCATAACATTCGTTGATTTATGACTGCAAACATGTGCGACCCACCAGATCCTTTGGCGCATCCTTCAGCGCCACTTCAGTCGCATTCCAGGCACTCTCTCTCCCTCTCCCTCTCGCTCTCTCAGTGGAGTGTCGAGTACAAGTGGGTCGGACCGTGGCCACGATCCAATTACATGCTATGCTGGTTTATTTGGTCACTTGCACTCGGTGTGTTTACAGTGCGCGGCTCGTCATAAATTACGCAATGCTTCAACTCGCAACTCCTCCAACGACAAACAACAACAACAAGAGCAGTTGACGTAATCTGATGCCCAAATCCTTTGTCGATAACGATTCTGGAAAACTCTTGCACTTTGTTTACATGCGAGTCATGAGACTAAGTGTCGCGACCCAAATTTTCCCAAATGAAAAACGAATATCAAATCAAATCAGTAAAAACTTTTCACTCCAGTCGAAGCTGCCCAAAGTCTACTGAGAAGACTTGAGCTCACAGAGCACTTGGGTGGTCCAGCGAGCAGGCTCTCTCAAGTGGCCCGGGCCACATTTGGCAGTTGCACTTTTACAGCTAACTACTTACTAAACATCCATACTTAGAGCTAATGTGCATTTCGGGGAAGCATTAGCAGCGATAGCAGCTAAACGGTAGTTCCACAGCGCTGCGATGCTCGAGTGGTTTCCCGTTGATTTCCTACTGAAGGATGCTCTGCTCACATCTTGAGATTGTTTGGTTTCGTTTTGACACGATTTGGGTTTCACGAAATGCAACAACCGAGGAAGAAGAAGAGACTGCTGAAGCTAGACATATGGACTAGACTGTGTGTGAAATCAGCTCCGTTTAGATTTCATCTCAAAATGAGAAAAACATCATCACCTGTAACTGCAATAAATGTGCTTAGCTTCTTTCTAAGCAAAGTCAGGGAGACAATCACTTCGGAGGAGCTCATAGCGAGAACTCTGACTGTCATCCATTCAGCAGAATTAATTTATCAGCGCTGCTCCAGCTGTCTACACTGTTGTCAAATTCAGAAGTCAAAATGCCCTAATTTCTTGACGGTGTTTCTCATGTTTAATGATCCGTATTTGTTGGCTTTTAAAGTTATGTTTAGAATTTAAAGCATGTTAATCAAATGTAGCCATCTTACATCGCCCCAAGCTGTTACTCCTTGATAGATTACTAAGATTTTCAGCACGGAATAATCATTGATCACTTATTGTATATACTTATTATACCATAATCAACTCTATGTCAACGATTGATTGATTCAGCAACGCAGAGCTTAAGCTCCAATAATTAAATGCAGAATATAAGACCTTACATACTGCCGATCTAATATTATTATCATAAACTATATACTTTCTAAAAACAAAATTTAAAAAAATATATATATCTTTTTAAAAACATTCGCTAATCTTGATATTCGTTTTAAATTATTTTTTATAGACAATTTTAAATATGTATAACGATATATCTATATCTATATCTATATATTTTCATGTCATATACGTTATATACGTATAGGTTGACAATTCACTTCCTTCAAGCTGAATTACATTATTAAATGACAAGCATTGCGAAACCTTTCGTTTGAGTTCCAGTCACGCATTAATAGTTAACGTAAACTATACTCAAGTGTCGCCCTTTTCCCGTAGCTTCAGGTAATGCGAAAAGATTCAATCTAATTTCGTTATCCGCTGACATCAGGTGAAGGCAATCCAACTCGCAGCAGAATGGGGAACGGTAATAAACAGAGGGAATTGCTATTGCTAGGTCTGCTATCACTAGTTCTGGTAAATTGTCAGAACATGACCGGAGATGGCTGTGAGTATAATCAACTTAATCAACACTTTGAGCGATTTTTAACACCAATGCCCAAATCTGTAGTTGAGTGCTTTAGAGGTCCAATACCGGGTAAGACGTGCAGAACACCCAAACTCCGCTACTACTACGATATAGCTCATGACCTATGCCGTACGTTCATGTGGGGCGGATGCAAAGATCCAAACGATTCCAAGTCCATAAATCGTTTTGAGACTATAGAAGACTGTAATAAGAGGTGTAGAAAGCAGCGACCGCAAATAAGAGTTATGAATTAAAAAAAATTGAGGCCTTTAGGAAGCCCCAAGAAGAGAGGGAAAAACACACATAGGTTATTTTTTATGTCTATAAAAAATAATTTAAAACGAATATCAAGATTACCGAATGTTTTTAAAAAGATATATATATTTTTTAAAATTTTGTTTTTAGAAATTATATATCAAATCAAAGGTATTAATGCGTAGATTACATATATATGAAAATTTATGATCTAGCTCCTTTAGTTCAAAAGATATTTCAATTCAATTTTTATTTTCAATTTTTATAATAAAAATCAAATCATAACTCTTATTTTTGACTTTTATAATAATCATATATATATATATATATATCATAAATTATAAATAATCAAAAATAAGAGTTATGATTTGATTTTTATAATAATATAATAATATAATAATTATTATAATAATAATCCGAAAATATATTGTCATCCATAAAAATTAATTCTTCAAGTACACCGTAACATTCTGTGACATATATACAAGCTTTTAATCTTTCGAATTTTTCTACAATAATAATAAAAATAAAATATCATTCTATTTAAATAAATCAAAATTTCAGCTAGAAAGAGCATGCTTAAAATTTTTTATTAATCATTATTATTTTATTGAGTTTTCGATATATCATTAAAAAAACGTATCATTTCATGTAATTAGCAGCACTTTAACTTCAGCAGTGTCTTAAATTACAAATGACAAATCAATAAAAAGCAAGTTTCTCTATAATACCATGAACTAAAAACAATTTTTTTCCATGATATTGAAAATATAATAAATAATCCTTAAGAGGGTTTCAAGAGTTTTAAGATTCTTTAAAGTTATCTATCGTCAATTTAATATTTAATTTGCTATACTAGATGTATCGACTGTCTCTATAACTAGAACTTATGCATTCATACAAATGATTTATCAATGGAATGATAGGTGGGATTATGCCCAAGTCAGAGATAAAGTTTGATTTATAAATGTCCTATTCCTATATACATATATATAAGTGGACAAAAATCTCTTTCATCCACTTAGTCAATCCTAAATTCCTTTGCAAATTCCTCGCTCAATTTTCTTAAATGTGCAACTAATCGAAGTACCTTGCTTGGTTAACCCAACATTTGATGCTTGTCACCTTCGGTGGCGCTGTTGGCTATCTGAGGAAATTGTCCTGCTGCTAAATGTCGATGAAAATAATTATCTGTTTGGCAAATAGGCTGGACAGCTTCATCAGCAATCTGTTGGCAATGGCCCTCAACAACGGCAACAGCAACTCCTATGTACATCCAATTGCAATTACGCGTATCCTTGAGTTACGAATACGCCGGAGGGGGCACGAGGTTAGCCCAAGCAGCCAGAATTGCTGGGTTTTTGCCAGGCGAGCGAAGCGAATGGGCAACGCACAGCTCTCGGCATTGGTTCGGCCAGAGATTTGAAGTGGAATCTGCACGGGCCTAATGTTGTGATTAGCATCTGCGTTGACAAACACAGTGAGCGGTCCCAAGGCGAGCGAGGCGACGGCATTGCCTTGGACCAAGCTGCCCCCCACCCAAGATGAATAATTATAGCTGATCTTTATGCGCTTGCCGGCTCCTTGCTGCGACCGTTAATGGGCAACAGTTGATGCCAGAGCGAACTGGGACTGGGACTGGGACTGGAACTGAGACTGAAACGGAGACGGTAGAGCTTCGGCCTTACCTGCAGCGTTTTGGCATTCCGAAAATTCCATTTTTCCTTCAATTGATGCGCTCAGTGAGTCGTCGCATTGTTAGACAAAACGAATTCACGCGTATTCCGCCGAAACTCGCTAATGGTCACAGCGTTCGCAGCATCGCAGCATCGATGCATCGAAGCATCTCGCCTTCACCTTGGTCTCCGCCTGTGTTATTAATGATGGAAATTTGAAAATACAGAAGGTTCAATAATTGCAACATCATTGTGAGCGATGAGCGATGCCTTCGCACCAAACAGAGACAGACAAAGAGAGAGAGAGAGGGAGAGAGAGAGAGACAGAGCTTGACTGCCTCTTTTTGCTTGAAAATCAGTGACTTTGTCTCAATAACAATGCTGTAAACAAATTGTGTTTGCTGCTTGCTGCTGCTGCTGCTGCACACTTCCCGAGAGCGAAACGGGAGAGAGTTGTTGCCGGCGAACCGGCGAACACGCGTGTCCCTGGCTGCCATTTTTCCAGGCCCAGTCAACAATGCAACCGAAGATCAGCGAGAGAATCGTTTTATTGCCGCATTTATGCCTCGAATACCTGCCTCTGTCTCTCTCTCTCTCTCTCTCGCTCTCCCTCCCTGAAGCTCGATCGGCAGCAATGCATTTATATTGCAGCAATTTCGTATCAATTGAATGTCTTCCACGAATCCGCAGCGGCCATAAAGAGCGTCGCGTGTAGGAAGGACAATCCAGCAAACAAAATCAACAAATGGAAGTGCGAGAACCCTGAAGACGACGACGACGACGACGACGTGGAAGACTTCTTGGCCGGGCTGTCCATTTCAGTTTATGCCGATTTTTGTTGTATGCGCTTCACCTTCACTTTGAGCATGCCCCTGCTCCTGCCACTCTACCCATTCTCAGTCCCATTCCCATTCCCGTTTATTGGCCTCTGCCGGCGTCTTTTTGTCATCGCAATTCACGTGTAAAACATGCCTCAAGTTTTGTCTCTTCAGTTGCTTGGCTCGCGACTCCTTTGCCCAGTTTCCTGTTTACATTGCTGCCTTCAGCCCTCGGTCCGCCGATGCTGATGCCGCACGCGCCTCTAAAGCGGTATCAAAGCATGAGCAAACAAACGCTGAAAACTCTTGACCCATTGTCGAGATTCCGTTGAACTGCAGGCGCACGAATCAACTTCCTGCCACTTGAGCGCCTAGTCAAAGCTGCAGCTGACCGGCCAATGGAGGAGCTCGCTGCAGCACCTGTTGGCAGAAGGAGTATCAAAATTTACTTATACTAATACTAATAATGGACATCTTGATGTGTTGAAGAGAAATGCATGAGAAGAGCTGAAAGTGAGGCAGATAATAGTAATCAATATTACGCTCTCTTTACTCTTTACACCACTAATCGTACACCTTAATACCAGGTGCATCTTGAGCTATTAAATGAATTAAATTGTTCAAAAGTTGGGAATCTTTTAAGAAAAATATGTTCAAACTACTTCCTCTCTCTCTTACTCTCTCTCTCTCTCTATCTCTATCTCTATCTCTATCTCTATCTCTATCTCTATCTCTATCTCTATCTCTCTCTTACTCTCTTTCTCTATCTATTTTCTCTCTCTTCATTTTCTTTTCTTTCGCACACACACTCTAATCACTCCCTACTTTCTTTTAAACTATGTCATACTGTACAATCTTCACTTATTTTCAATTCACATTCAAATCAATTATCCCTAAGAGATATTCTCTTAAACATATCCCATATGTGCTATTCCTCAACTTACGATTTTATTATTCTCATCGATTGAATCCCAATCGGTTTGTTTCGGTCTGGGAGGTATAACAAGATGATACGCTAACAGCTATTGCAAGCAAGTAAACAATATAAGTAACAATATAAACAATATATGTGCATATTTATAACAGAAGATTTTTTCTGAGCAGCGAAACAAATCAAAGCAAAGACAATTTTCACTTATTTCAACAAATTTTTATGTATGTATGTATGTATAAAGATTATGCATTTTAGACTTACTTAGCTTTACAATTACAATCAACACTTGCTGAAGTCTCTGCCAGCCTAATATTCATGCATTAGCAATAGAGTCTATGAATATCATCCACTAATTCCAATCGCTCCCTATCAGTCTCAATTTGCAGACAACATTTGTAATTCAAGTTCAAGTTGGAGCTAAGCTTCGGGTGTCCACGTTGCATGTTTCTGCACTTCACATAACTGTGAATGGGCTGAGTGAGTGGCCTGATAAGCTATCGGCACGCATCAAGTATTTGGGATCTATTATGGCCACATGCTCCTCGAATACGTCAGCAACTGTTCAGCTGTTGGAGGAGGCATTGTCATTACCTGGCAATTGCACCTGCCCAGACAGCAGTTGAAGTCAATTCAAGTAGCGTGTGTTTAGCCCCCATCTGGAGTGGGCTGGCAGGAAATCGGCGCTCCAAGCGCACTGTGAGCTGCAGCCAGTGCACTCGAGTCGAGTCATGCACTTGGCGCAATCTATTGACACTCGGCACTCAGCAACTGGCCAGCTACCCGTCGTTGGTGATTCCATGGCAGCGGGAGGTTGCGAATCTAGCACCTAATCTCAGTTCTGTTTGACCTCCTCCCAGACATTAATTAGAGCTGGGCGCCCCACGTTCTGCTCTGGGCAGTAAGGCAACTGGACAGCTGGGCAGTTGCTCTGCCTGCTGTGCACACATGTTGGCTTTATGGCCCCTGCTAATCCTGGGCATCGATGTGTCTGGGCGTTTGGAGCTGCCAGGCGACAATCGAGCAAACAGCCAGACAAATGAGCAAACAAATGGCCAGCGTATGTGTCCTTAAACGAACCAAATTGGATCATAACAGCAAAATGTCGAAATCTGCACAAACAGCGCTCTAATTAAGTCCTGCAGCGAGGCACATTAACGGCACAAAGGCTGGCCATGAGCCCATAGAATAACAGCTAAAATGGGCGTCCATTAAAATTATACAAACTCTCTATCTCACACTCTCTCTCTGTCTCTGTCTCTCCCTCTCCTTCTGTCTGTCTCTGTTCATGACATCAGTGAGTCAGCGTGGAGTGGGGTCATCAAGTCATCGTCTGCGAGTTGGGAAATCTGTCGATAATAATGAAATCACGCAGAAATATTAATTTCGGACATATATATATATTACACGATTGCCGAGATTGGAACCCAGCCCATAAAAACTGACGCCAGACGATGGGCGATGGGAAATACATAACTCTCATAGCACGTCGAGACGATTTCTACATTTTATATTCGCAGTTTTCATAAATATATACAATCTGGCAAAGTGTAGTAAAATGTTTTTCGAGAACAGAGCATTATATTATCTAAATAACTTTGATTTATTTTAATTTTTATTTGTTTCTTTAGACTCACGGTCGCAGTAATCTTGTCAGCGTTTTAGGTTCTACTCGAAAGAAAATCTGCCATTAAAAAAAAGCAAACTGATATCATTTAAAAGTCAGGCCCCCTTAGTACTAGAGCACCACTTGAAATAAATCAGAGTGATAGCCAAAGTATTATCTTCCGGTATTTTGAAAAAAAAAAAAATAAATAAATAAATAAAAAATAAAAAATAAATAAATAAAAACAAAAGTTATAAAACTTTAATCTAATCAGTTTTCAGTGAATATGCAATATCTAATATATATTATATATATTGTCTGAAAGGTAACAGGAAACAAACCAGTAACTATGTAATTTATATAAAATATTAAAAATGCAATTTCTGATTAAAATTTAAAACATGCAAATTTTAGGAGTTATATTAATACTCAGCATTTCTAACAAGAAAACAGAAAAATATGAGCAGAAAGACTAAGGCTTCCTAAAGTAAAATATATAAATAAATATATTACACTTAATATACTTTTCACATAAGACTCAACCAATTAGAAATAAAGACATATCAAGAATACCCTTTATAAGCACATATAAAACTAAGAATCTGCAGAATAGCAAAATATCAACAAGATGAAGCACAAAGCAAGGCGAACTTTAAATTTTAATCATATTTAAAATACATATTCTTTTCTAGAAGAGAAATATTTTTATGCAAAGTTCAAGCCAAGTTCCGTTCAATATTCTCATATATAGGGCAAACTGTTTTTTTTTTTCGGTGTTCGATACATGCACATATGGTAAGTGTGGTTTGTATATTTTTTGTAGATGATATCGGGGCCAATCTGTAAGTGTGTTTATTGGGGGCGTCGTTGAAACTACCGCGCGCTAGCTGGCAGGCAGTATAATGCTTCCCATGGGCATCCACTTATCGCCTCGGGGTACTCTGGCGCTGAGCTCACTTTTAATTGCACTGTTTGTTCAAATACACTTTTGCTGTACTCCTTGCGTCTTCTGCTTAATATTTTTTATCGTTAAAAAACACTTACGAGCATTGTTAACTTTTGGCTGTTTTCTCTCTCTCTCTCTCTATTTTGTTGTTTTTGGACTCTTATCGTCTAATGTGGCCCAATCGGCGCACTTGTTGTGTTGCCCTGGGAAGTGGGTCGTTGACAACGCCCACAATCACAATCACAATCACAACACTCTCACACACACACACACACAGACGTAATAGTAGCCACCCTTTACACATTTGCAGGCGCCTAAAGAGCTGTCGCTCCATGTCCATGTCTCGAGGCAGCCAAATGGATTTCCCTCTGCCTGCGCACTTGCTCCAACAGTTCCTAATCTTGTGGCCAGCCCTGTTCTCCCATCTCCCTCCTGGTGCGCTGCACTTCTCGCAGCTGCTGCAGCTGCAGCTGCCAGTCGAATTGCATTTTGTCTGCCAATTACAATTATTAACATCGCCTCTTCGTCGCATCGCTTGCGGTTTCAATTAACGCTTCCTACTGTCCATTATCTATTGTTTTCGGGGCCTTTTCCAATTCAATTGTGCATCGAATATCTCAAGGCTTTGCCAGCGTTAAGTGCTCGACAATAATTTGAGAGGCCAATTACTGAAATGAAATTGAATCGAACTTATGAATGATTCGAATGGGAATTGATATAATTTGATTCAGATTCGATTTAACATCGAGCAATGTATGTAACTGACAGAAGGAGGCGTGGCAGACCCCACAAAGTCTTTGTCATTGATGTGCCTTGCATCGAGTCTTATAGCATTCAGCTTTTGTCATGCATCTGCCCTAACTCCAATTTCAAGTTTTATTTTTCTCACATTCGCTAGAAGAGTTGGCCCACAATTTCAGAGGCATTCATGGGGCAATGGTTTTTTACTGAACAAGCATGTTATGATCAATATTTCCAGGAGTTTTACTAATGCACCTTCCATCGAGTCTTGTATCAAGCAGCCTTTGTCATGCAGCTATTAAATCTTCGAGTATTGTTTTTTTAACATTCACTAGAAGATTTTCGCAGTTTCAAAATCATTGATAAGGCTATGCCTTTTATTTAGCGAGCAAATTCTAATCAATTCTTCCACAAATTTCATAGATGTACCATCTATCGAGTGACATATCATTCAGCTTCTGTCAGTCTCAGAGCGTTTCGTCTGCCATAAATTCGCTAGAAGATCTAAACTACGAGCATAAATATAAACATTTATATACATACAGCATATATATTTCTGTGACTCATGAAGAGTTTGCCCACAATTTCAGAGGCATTCATGGGTCTATGCTTTTTCTTAACAAGCAAGCTAGGCTATTTATTATATTTCCACAGATTTTATTGATGCACCTTCCATCGACTTTTGTAGCATCCAGCTTTTGTCATGCAGTTGCATTAACTACATTTTGGTCATTATTGCAACTCTACACGTTTTACGAAGTTAGTCCATCAACAAAAAAGTTAGTAACGTATTAACTTCCCGTACTAAAGACTCACTGCAGCCCATAATTATTATAAATTCTACTATCAAACATCCAGTTTGTAAGACAGTTAAATATATTTGTACGTTCGTTTTGAAACCCCTATCCGTTTTGCTAGCGCCATCTACAGTTCGAGTCCAAAAAATGACCGCCATGCAACGTTTTTATGAATGCGCACAAAAGCATGCTACATAAAAATTTCCATTCTCTGCTGTGTGCAAACTTTTAAATACAGCTAGGGCTACAATAAATACAAAAACAGCTCTCAAAAGAATGAAATTATTTTCCAATATGCAATCGATAATAGCTTGACCAGTGCTGGCATACGTCACAAACATACAATTGCCGACAAGTGCAAGTGCAGCAGTTTAATCAAGCAATCAGCCACAAAGTGACAAACAAACACTTATTAATAAACCACAGCAACAATAGTAATAGCCGCAGACGCGTCCCCCAACCGCAGTCGAGAGCGTTATCAAGCGATGCGTTACGTAATCATGGAACATACGAACAAAGCCCCATTCGTTCGACCGCCACGCAGCAATGAAGACGGCAATGGGATGTGCGATGTTAATTGGATTTTGTGTGGCGCTGATTCTAAGTGGGGCAAGTGCGGGCAATGTGCTCGCCATATTCCCGCACTTTGGCTACAGCCACTTTAAGGTGGCGCTACCCATTCTCAGCGAGCTGTCGCAGCGGGGTCACCGGCTGACGGTCATTTCGTACGTGCGACATCCCCAGGCGGCGCAGCTGCCCAATTACGAGCAGCTGCTGATCTCCGATGCAAATGAGGATCAGTCGAATACCACAATCAACGTGGTGCCGCTGTCGGAGCACACGCCCACACGCTCGCTGTGGGTGCTGCTGAATGAGTACTACGAGCTCTACACCAACGGGCAGATCTCCTGTGAGCGCCTCTTCCAGAGTGGCCATGTTGAGACTATCTTGGAGCGCCATAAGCAGCAGCCGTACGATCTGCTGCTCACGGAGTACTTCAGCACGGACTGCCAGCTGGCCGTTGCGCAGCTGCTGAAGCTGCCCATCATTGGGATTAGCACGTGTGCGCTGATGCCCTACTACTACGACCGCATCGATCTGCCCGACACGCCGTCCTATGTCCAGTCCGAGTTCGTCGGCTTCCCCCGACCTCTGCAGTGGCGCGATCGCCTGCTGAACTTCGCCCAGGCCAAGCTGCTGAAGCTCATCTACAGGCTGCACACGAATCGGGCGGACAATGCGCTGATCAAGCGCCATCTCGACATCGATGTGGATGTGGATGCTGTGGCTCGTGCCCAGACGGCATTCGTCCTGGGCAACCAGCACTACTCGCACATGGGCAGTCGCCCGCGCACCCAGCAGTTCCTGGAGGTGGGCGGCGTGCACATCACGAGCAAGGACGAGCAGCAGCTGAGCCCGCGCATTGTTCAGTTCCTGGAGCAGTCCGAGCAGGGCGTCATCTTCATCAGCTGGGGCTCCATGGTGCGCGCCTCCAGCATCGATGCCGACAAACTGGACGCGATTATCAAGGTGCTGCTGCAGCAGCCCCTAAACGTGATCTGGAAATGGGAATCCTTGGAGTTGCCCAAGCCCCAACTGGATGCCAGCAAGTTTCTATTCGTGAAATGGGCGCCGCAGCTGGCGCTGCTCTGTAAGTCGAATCGCCCTGGCAGTCTTTCGTGAATCAAAGCTAACTTCCACATTGCTCCTAGGCCAGCCGAAGGTGCGTCTGTTCTGGGCACACGCCGGTCTGCTGGGACTCACCGAGGCGCTGCACTGCGGCAAGCCGCTGCTCATGACGCCCATCTATGGCGATCAGTTTCTGAATGCTTATGCGGCCCAGGATCGCGGCATCGGCCTCAAATTGGACTACCAGGACATCAATGTGGAAATGCTGCAGGAGTCGCTGCATGAGCTAAGCAAGCCCAGGTGGGTAACCTAAAGACCTATTCATGACTTCTCTAACTAATCCTTAATACCCTGCAGCTACGCCTCACGTGCCATGCAGCTGGCGCAGATCTTCAATCAGCGCGAGCGCACGCCGCTCGAGACGGCCATTTGGAGCGTGGAGCACGTGATGCAGCATGGCATGTTTGCCGTCGAGCTGCTGCAGTCGCCGGGCATCGAGCTCAACTGGTTCATTTACCACTCACTGGACAGTTTGGCTGTCATCTTGGTCGCGCTGCTGCTGCTCATCGTCAGCTGGCGTGGCCTGACGCAAGAGCAGACGCCGCGAAAGCCGCGCAAGTCCAAGAAGGCGAAAAAGTCTTAGTTCTCATGGAATGCTAATAGATATTTTTGTTGTCAATAAAAACAAATATAATAAATAACTTAGATCTACTCTCTAGTAGCGTCCGCGCTGCATGCAGTCGCGTCTGCACTCCTCGTAGGTCAGGAAATTGTTCTCGGTGGAGGCGCAGCCCGTGTAGTAGAAGCTCTCGCAGTTGGCCGTCTCCTTGTTGTAGGCGTAGCGCAATTGCCGGCCACGGCACAGACCCGGCGCCTTCGGCTGTTTGCAAGCTAGAAACGGGAATCTCAACAGCATTAGCCCGATTCTTCAGTTCCGACTCGGATATAACTCACCGATCTGCTGCTTGACATGCTCGCGCGTCTGATTCTCCAGGTGCAGGCTGAGGATAACGGTTATGTGCAGCAGCAGCAGGAACAGCAGCATGCTCCAGCTTATCATTATCATTCTGGAACTTCTTTACGATCTTTGGACCATTAAATATATATTTCTTACACAATTACGGACCAGCTAAAATCACCTCCAACTACTTATTTCTATTATTAATTTTTTTTTTAGTTTTTATTTAAATTTTTGTTGTTTAACTGTGTTTTTGGGTTTAGACTGTTCCGTTTGTCTAGAACCGTACGAATCGAACTACCTCCACAGAATGTTCTCCGTACAGAGCTCGAGCTCAGACTTATTTTTCTCAGCTTTCTCTGCTTTTGAATTTTTCCTAAAGTCTCGTTGCGCACGTAGCCGAGTTTCTGCTTTGAATTCTATTTTGGCTTTTTGCTTTTCGCTTCAATTTGATGTTTTTTTGTTTCTTTCGTATGCACTAGAATTGCATTCGATTCTCATTGAGTCAAAACGTGAGTTTTCGGCCAGTTTCCTAAACATCTCGAGTGCTCAAATCCAGGAAGCAAGAGAGGCTTCCGTAAGCTGTACGAAGCACTACATATACTAATGGCGAATCGAGTGAGTGTAAATGAGAATGACAAGCAGAGGTATCAAAAACTAAATACCCTTGTAGACATTAGACTTTCTTTTTTAAATGACTCTAGTATAGAAGGGCTGATATGGGTATACCTAGAACATGGCAAATCGAACGTATACAAAATTTTGTCAAACTATTCGATTTGACATTTTGATAAATTATCGGAGCTTAGTTTTTAACTGACAGTTAAGTTCGTATCTCCCTGCTAGGGGTAAACCTGGTTAAATCTTCAAGAATGATATGATAGCTTGCTAAGAAACAAATAGTAAAGACTCGAGAAGATATGTCATACATCTCAAATAAATAGTTCTTATAATTAATAATCAAAGAATGCTTATAAATATATCCCTATCTAAAACATGCATAAACTGTTTCTTTTATCAAAGGAAAACTTTAAAACTATCTGGCATAGTTCAATTACATCCCCTAAATATAGTAGAATGTTTGATTGAAAACATTCAAAAATTTGAACTTTATCCCTTTTTCAGCAATACCCATTTTCCAAAAGATTCAACCATGAACATTCTATTTTACATATTTATATAGATATCATTGATTATAAAAAAATGACAAAGTCTTAAATGATTAAAGAATTATTAGCGTATAGATCAACAATTGCTTAGAAATAGTAAAATGATAGATAGATAATTAGACAAGTGGGGGAAAGAGTTACATGTTATGGGCATGAAAGTCTTGATCATATAATTGCATAAGAATCAGCTTACAGACTATAAGGCAATCCGATTTGTATGTGTGTGTGTGTGTGTGTGTGGTGTGTGTGTTTGCACTTGGTACATTTAACAATTATTTTGTTGATCATAATTTGTTTATAGATAAAAGGTAAAGGGTAAAACAATTTACACAATGCACTTGGCTGAAATGGAGCAATGCCAGGACACAGGAACCTACTTACAATTTCTATCGATATCCAATGAACTAGAAGACATAGATTTCTCAATCTTTACATAATAATAGTTTATAAACTCGTTAATAAATTCATAGTGTTGCACAATGTTATCATGATAATCAGATCTCTGAGACAATGAGCTGCATGCTTAAGCTGCTTGTGGATGGGTGTGTGTGTGCAGATGTTTATCCGTTTCTTTTTCTTCTTTTTTTTTTTTGCGATTACGATATATGGTTACGACGATTAGTAGTATGAGGACCCTAGGCGTTGCGACTGCTACTTGGGGGATCAGCTTTCATTATTGTGGAAGGCTGATCCTGACTATTGCTTTGGCACACAAATGGCGCACTAGTTAAGATCCAACCGATCGCTTATCAATAACCCTCTCTCTCCAGTGGCAGCAGCTGCGCGACATCGTTCGCTAGAGAGCAGCGTCAAAAAAAATGTAAAAAAAAAACATTCCGTACGTTTTCTACACTAGAAATCCTTGTCCCAGCCACTAACATCATCTGGTGGCGGTCCCTCCGGATCGGGTGGATAGTCATCGAAGTTGGCTGTGTCCACAACGCTCTTCACGCTGGGCTTTATTGGTGGCTCCAGAGAGCGATTCTGCAGGCCCCACCAATAGAAGCCATCGAACCATCTAAATAAGAAATGCATTTAATAATAATTACAGATTTAGCTAATATTTCCCCCGAGGGGGGCGGCTCCACTCACTTGTGTTTCTGTATTTCGCTAATGCCGCCGCGTTGATAGCCCAAACGCTCGGCGGGATTATCGCGACACAGTTTCTTGATCAGATTGCTGGCGTTGCGTGTGATATTGCGCGGAAATTCGATGGCATCGATGCCCTTAAGTATAATGTTGTATGTGCGCATGGGATCCGAGCCCGTAAACGGTGGAGTTCCTGTAAAAGGCGAAGAGTGAGTAAAGAGCTTGAGAGCCATCAGAATTGGCAGTCGCTACTCACCCGTGAGCAGCTCAAACATGAGCACGCCAAGCGACCAGTAATCGGCGCTTATGTCATGGCCTCGATTCAGTATCACCTCGGGCGCCACATATTCGGGCGTGCCACAGAAAGTCCAGGTTTTGCGGCCCGTCTGCAGCTTCTTGGCAAAGCCAAAGTCCACCAGCTTCACGTATCCCTTCTCATCCAGCAGCAGGTTCTCCGGCTTCAGATCCCTGTAGATAATGTTGCGCGAGTGCAGATAGTCGAATGCCTCAACCACGCAAGCCGTATAGAATCTAGTGGTGGCATCATCGAAGTTGCCCTTATCACGCAATATCGTCCAGAGCTCGCCGCCCAGACAGCTCTCCATCAGCATGTACAGATACTTCTTGTCCTTGAAGGTCTTGAACAGCTTCACAATGAACTGGCAGTTGGCCTCGCCCATTATTTCCTTCTCGGACATGATGTGCTGCTGCTGACGCGTCTCCACAATCTGCGACTTCTTCATCTGCTTGAGGGCAAACGAACGCGAGTTGTCGCCATTCACTTGCACCAGCTCCACGCGCCCGAAGCCTCCCACACCCAGTGTGGCGATCACACGCAGATCTGTCAGATTAATGTCGCGGAACTCCTCATTGATCCTAGTGGAGTTCAAGCAGAGATAAGTGAAACGATCAAGATATATCAAGGCTCAGTGTCCAGACTTACTTTCTGCGTTCCATGGCACCCTCATCGTCATAACGATGCTTGATCTCGTCCAGGCTCGATATTAGCTGATTGAATGTCTCGCGATCAATGACCAAACAGCTGACACCCTCGGGCGACTCACAAATGATGTTGGCTGTGCGCAGATCATCTCTATAGAAAGAGAACCCTAGTCAGTTAGAAGCTAACGCCAATCGATGGCTCTACCTACCCCTGCAGCGCCTTCTCGCCAAAGAAGTCACCTTTGCCCAGCATGCGGATGAATTTCTCCTCCTGGGTATCCTGCTGCTTGATTGTCACACGCACCTTGCCCTTCGAGATGATGAAGAAGGTGTCGCCGCGAGCGCCCTGGCGCACAATATAATCACCCCGCTGGTAGTGCGTCTCCTCAAGCACATCGGAGATTTTGATCAGTGTATCTTCGGCCAAGTCCTTGAAAATGGGCACACTAAAGGACGAATTGAAGATGAATTTGCATTAAAATTGTATCTAATTAAAAACAAATAGGTAAAAGAAAAGAAAAACAACTTATTGATTTGAACGAAGGCTAAAGGGAAAAGGTGGAGAATATTCTCAAGTAGGCAAAGGCTAAAAACATTTTCAAACAATTCTGTCACCTTTTCCAGTTCAACTAGATTATAAGGAACTAGCGAGGGTAGATGATATTTGCCTAAAGCAAATATTATAAATATTTTATGAAGGATTCATATCTTAAGGAAATTCAATAGACAAAAGGTAAATAAATCCTAAATAAAAACCCTTTTGATTTGTCTTTTAAAGTAAGCCTCGCAAGCAACAGCTCTTCATCTATCATGAATCTTATTATTCCTCTATCATTGCCCTAGTCATAATTGGCTTTTATTTACCCACTCCCGCCCAGTCCAAAACACCTGCTGCCAAACTGCTAAATTGTGACTTTCGTAACGTTACTCGTCGGCTTAATCTACATCGGCTTAACTACAGCCGTCCCCTTAACTGCTGCACTTTCATTTTCATGTGGTGTAATGCATTTTATTTTATTTTTGCGCAATTTCATGCTTGAAATGTCGAAGGGGCGAAACTCTTTGAGCGCTAATCATATTATAAAGGTGCCACGAGCGCGGTAGGGGCGACAGCTCTGGCCATCAAAGGTGTTTGAAGGCGCCTGGCCTACCCTCAATGCGGCCAATTAAATGCGATTAATTTGTTGGTCACTCACGGCGCCAGCTTCGTGGCCTTAAACTGGTTGCCAACTTGTGCATCTGTGCTGGAGAGAAAAGAAAACATTTCGATGCGTTCGTTAACCGAACGATCGAAGTCTTCGGTCTGCCGGTCCATGTGTCTGTCTGTCGGTCCGTCGCGTCGTCTTTTCATTTTGAGCCATTGCACGTCATTGTAATAGACGTATATGAGACGCCCATGACCATGACGACGACATCAAAGTCGTCTGATGCTGTTTGCCCATTTGACGAAGAGAAAGTTGCACAAAAAAAAAATAACCAAACACGAACCACTAAAAAAATCCTTAAGCCAAGCGTTTTATATATATTACTTTTTTCTTTTTTTGTAATGGCCAGAAATATGTGTAGAAAGAAGAAACTACAACAACAACTTGGCGGAATTGATATAATTAAGTGCAAATGCACATTAATTGCATTTCTGCAACGAGTTGAGCAATTTGTTATTCGGCTCGAGGAAATAATGAAAGCTAAAACCTTATCTCGATGTCCAGTCCACTATTCCAGTCTACATACCTCTTGAGGAAATCCGTGTATTCCGCCTGCCGAATGAGGCCCGTTCGCATCATGATCGTCTGGAAGCATTGACGCTCGATCGCCCACAGATTGCATTCGGTGATCGCTGTGATTGTCGCCGTCCTCTGGCAGTTGTACAAAATGGCCAATTCGCCCAGCACCTTGGCGCCGGAGAGCGTCGACAGGTACTTGCCCTCGCGTGACACCTCCACGCGTCCATCTGAAACGAGCAGAGCGTTCGATTGATTAAACAAGAGTCGTAATGGCAGAGATCTCGCCAGGCGTAAACAAAGTATGGGAAAGCAGAGCGCCAAGTGTGGAAGCAAACAAATGTCTTAGTCATCGAAATTAAAGGCACAGCTCGATGCTTTCCTTCAATAACTCTCAATTAGGCTTCGTGCTACTCTTTGAACTCAAGAAGAACCCAATGAGCGAGCGACAGCAGCTTTATGAACTCCACAGAAATTATTGGTAGTCTTGAGCTTTGCTCTTTTAATTAAGGGCTTTCAAACTTAATTTATTCAGAATATAGCTTTTTTATATTTTCGCTTTAAGCTAGAGATGAATAGAGTTAAAAGTAGAGAAATCTCACTAGGGAAAATTGTATAAAAAAATCAATTTTGATTTTATCTAAGATTTGAATTGTTTGGTTCCCCCTATGGAATCTTCATATATATATAACAATAATACTATATATGTATGTTACTATATTAGAGTACAACGAACAACGTATCACAGCTGAGTTCAATATAGTATTTAGATTTCAGTTACCCCAACATATCTCTAGACCGAAAACTTATCTCAAATAGTTATTCCAATCTTTGATACTGATTCAAATAACCCGCTGGATTAGTTCGAACCTGAACCTTAAATCATTGTAGATGCTTTCGACACATATCTTAACTCTCTCTCTCCAAACTCAATAACCCAAATAAATCAACCGATTTATCGTTTCATCAATTCTCTCATATCTCTCATCTTATCGCATCCTTTTAACCTCTTCTAAGCGACCTCCTTACCACTGGTTACATCCTCGTCCTGCGCTTTGCCCGACTGCTCCTTGAGATTCCCGGTGCGACGGCGTCGCGCGTATGTGTGCACGGGCACAATGAGGCGTGGTCGCGGTATGCAGAAGCCCTCGCCGTTGAGATCCTTTGCGCTGCCATTGCTGCTGGACCCAGGCGAGATGTGACGCGACGTCTGTCTCTCGGGCTGCCTGCTCACAACTGGCTCTGCAGCAGCCGGCACTGGCAGCTGCTCCTCTAGCTGCAGGCCTTGCAGCGCCTGCTCCAGGCTGTGCCGTCTGATGTCTGGCGTTTCTGCGGCACGCGCTGTAGTCCGGCAGAAGGAGGCGGAGTGGTTGGGCATGCGGATGGTGGCATAGCGCTGCACGCTCGTCTGTGATCTGCTGAGCGGCTTGAAGGCGCGCGCTGCTTTGCTGCCGGCTGTGGGCGGAGGTGGCGGCGGCTCTGTGGGTGGCTGGAGCAGGCGCAACGGCTGCTGGCAGATGACACGCTCCGCTGGCCGATCCTCGGCAGCGGAGGAGAATGTGGAGTAGGCGGAGGAGCTGTTGCTGCTGTTGTGTTGGGCGGGTTTCGATTTGGGCGCACGCAGTGTCACATAACTGGGCGGCGGATGCTGCAGCATCGTCTGACTGCGACGCAGCGAGGGCGGCTTCACGGACAGCTGCTGCCGTGGGCGTGGCAGGCGCTGGCGTTCCGTTGGATCAACTACATAGTGATTAACGTTGGCGGCGCTTGGCGTTGGAGCATTGTCAGTTTTTGGTTTCTCTCTCAATTGCTGCTCCTCCGCCTCCGTTTCCTCCTCAGCCACCCAGCCATTGTCCAGCTGCTGCTGCTGGTGATGCTGCAGCGCCGACGGCCTGTAGCCATTCAGCTCCTTGATGGCACTCACAATGCGCTTGTCCTGCGCCTGCTGCTCCAGCCGCCTAATGTTCTCCAGCGTCATTTGATACTTGCTCAGAGCCGAGATGCCATCGAGCAGGAAACTGCTCGAGCCGGCATTGCTCGGCTGTCGGCTGAGTGTGGGCTGCGTCGTTTGCGCGCGATGGTGCTGATGATGCGCCTGCAGCCAGTTGGCCTCATACAGGGCGCTCATGGCGCTGTCGTTGTCCAGCGAGAGGCTCGCATCGACAGCTTTGCCCGGATAATGTTTGATTTTCATGTTGTTTGAGCAATTTTCTTGTTTTTCCTTGCAGCTTTTTATTATTTTTATTTTTATTACTTTTGTCAGCTATGGCTTTTAGCTGGCCCGGAGATTTCACTGGCCTGTCGATGACGCTGCTGACGATTTTGACGTGATTTGTTTTGTTAGTTAAAAGACACGACTTGGCTTTGTTTTCGTTGTTGTTGTTGCTGTTGCTGTTGCTTGTTGTTGCTTGTTGTCTTTTGCATAACCAAGCCATGAAATTCGCGCTTGGAATTTTGACGAGTCAGTGGACGGTAAAAGAAAAACAACAACTGGGGACAGACGCCAAATTGTATTTAGTTTTCTATTATTAATATTACCAAAGCGATTTCTTGCACATGTTGTTAAACTTTCCAAGCTTGCCTCACGTACATATTAAACACAAAAGCTATACGGCGAAAATGCCCCCCGAGCTATGGACGAACTACGAAAATCAAATCCCATAGTCAAAAAACAAATCCAAACCCAACAGTTGTGCCAATATTTGCAGATCTCACTGTTTGCCTTTTGTCTCTGTGTGTATTCAAATGTGGCATGTGTGTGTGCCACACACAAGTCTATAAAGTTAATAACAATTTGACTCAAGTGTTAATTATTTTGTTGCAATTTGAATAAGCGTGTGAATGAATGAGTCGAGACTTTGCCACTTTACAGAGAGTGCGCGCAGCTAATGCATTGGGAATTGCCCCCAAAACGTGAACGCAAATAAAATGATGATGAATGAATACACATATAAATAGCTCCATGGGCAGGGCATACAAAAAATTTATATATACACAAGACAAGGCTGGCGATAGGTAAACAACGCAAAGTTAAGCTCAGGTGTTCCAGTTAATTATGTGGCTGACCGAACTAAGCGGAAAAATGGATCGTGAGTCATCGGCGTACATGAAATATAAATAAGTTCGATCTGTAAATGTATTCGCATAATTAACCTACAAACCGCATTCAAGGAAAATTTATCAATGATGACGATAATGATGATGATCAGCGTGTATAACTAAATGATCTTCAATACATGAAGTAACCTGAGCGATTAAAGCAAAAAAACAAATCTTTGCACGTCAGCTCATGTGTGCGCCCTAAGCAAATGGACGATCGTTAAGCTGATCTTGATTGTTGTTTACAAGAAAAAGAAATGATAGTAGGAAAGAGATTCGAACACTTAAGTGATTAGCTGAAGTTGTAAACAGACTAAATAAAGAGATTGAAGTGATTAGCTTCACAGAAGTTGTTGACATTTCAACTTATGGCTCACTTATCACCTGCGTCATATGATCAGCAAATATTTGACTTTGGTGAAAACAAAACAAAACCAAGATATTTTACAGATCTAAACGTGCATATATAACGCTGTTTAATAGCACGATCACAATCACAATAAATTTATTCACAAACAATAAATGATCAGATCACGTATACTTAATGTTCAAATGAGCGTGAAAACTGAAAACTGAAAACAAAAGCTGTGAAGGAATCAATTTTTACAGCACAATAAATAACTTCAGGTATAATTAAAATACAAAGCTAAACAGCTTTTTCGAGAACTGGAACGTAACGCAATGGCATGCAGGTATTCTGTGCTCCCAAAAACACACACAAGACTAAAGCAACTGAATAGCTTCAATTGTTTTTAGAACAGAAACCCAAGTAAACTAGGGAATCAATTAGCACTTAACTTTAAGTTCTATAACATGCTAGTATAATGCAAAATAGATAGTAGTCATGCATCATGGAAGACTTTGATTAATGATTCAACTGTGACTAATTAGAATAAATACTAAAGAAAGATGTTGAGAGATTAGGTTTAGAAACTCCCATTATTTGAGAGCTAAAATTTGTATTCATCTATGAGAAAGTTCATATTGAGAGTCATTTAAACCGTTTATACTCCAACGATTATTTACAATTTAAATTAGATACACTTTTTTGATATTATAACTTGAAAACGATCGCTGATCAGATAGAATTTAATTAAAATTTCAATACAAAAATCTATCGATTTATAATCAATCATCTGACTAGCAAATATATGTATAAGAGTATAAAGAAAGAAATTCAGGTTAGAAAACCCCGCATAATCAATATTGAGGAAATCCCATTTATAGTTCACTCTAATGATCATCTGTAAGAAGTATACGAGCTCATTATAGAATCTGCTACTGGAATTCCCCCGAATTTACTTGGAAAAAACGTACAGGCAACACGAACTTAGGTAATGAAAATATAATAAAATCTGATAAGCTTTGCTGACCTAACCAAAAGTCAATCAAAAGGATATTAAATAGGTAATAACAAAAGAAATCGAATTCCTATAAAGCTTCATTAAAAACAAATAAAATATGTTAAATGAAAAATAAATAAATTTCAATTATCTATTATTAACAGCTGATCGACTGAGCTCATGAACCAAGTCCACTAAAACACACTCAAGATCATTAATGCAGCAAAGCTTAAAGAGCTCTTGAAAACTCTTTAAACTGAATTCCAGCAACATAACAAAAACTCTATTTATATATATATATATCGAGTGTTTGGCTAACTGATCAAACTTTTTGCAATTTGTACACAATATAAAGTGAACTTCATGCGTTTTATAAATTAACGTTCAAGGTGCTCCAGAAATGTCACATTACCATTTAAGCCAAAAAAGCGAAACGTTGACGGCTGGGAGTAACCCAGGCAATTACGTGATTGCTTTCAGTCATGCCCAAAAAAAAGGAAAATAAGTGAAAAAGAAGTAAAATTATGACTAAAAGATAGCCAGCTGACGAACATTGTTCGCCTTCAATGCATAGGCATCATCAATCGGTAAACAAAACAACAAATGTAGTTTTGTACTCTCTATGAACGGACAGCAAGCCAAACGAGTATATTGGCTTTTAAGCAAGATGCCGAACGTTATAAATGATCACAATACAATTTAAATTTGTACTTGGTTATGCTATGTTGATCAAGCCCTTTAGGGGATAATCTTATATTATGTACTCTAGACATTCTCTACAGATAGAGACAATTGGCATATCGGAAAAGAAATAATTATATGTATTTTCCACACTCTTAAGCTGACCTCCTCTACTCGTACACCCATTAATTATTGGCTCCATCTATTGAAGCGGAAAACGTTTCGATTTTGTCATACGTTTCGCCGTGAACGAGTATTATGCAGTCAGTTGCGCCGACTTCAATTATTTGACTTGTCTTTCAGTTTGTTTGCTTGTCGAGGTACGAGTATTTGCGTAACATGACCAAAAATAAATGTCTCGAATGAATGGAAATGGAAATAACTAACTATATGGCTTATCAGGACGTGTCAGAGAGACAACCTCGTGCCGCAGCTCTCGAGCTGATAAGGCAGCAGCAGGCATCGATAATGGACACTGGAAGGCAGCGATGGAATGAAATTGAAATTGAAATTGTAATTGGAAACGGAATGGAAAATGTGCGCTATGTACAAGTTGGTAAATTGAAAGGCGCCGTCAAGAGAGGCCACAGTTCAAAGAGCTTGTTAGTGTCTCTCTGTCTCCTTCTCTCTATCTATTCGTCTCTTTCTCAATGCGGAAATCCGTCACGCAGTGTTGAACAACTCGAAAACAAAAAGAAACAGCGAAAAGCACAGAGCGTATGCAGCTGGCCAAAAAGATTTTGCAATGGCTTTAATGAAACTGCTGTGCAAGGTCAACAACAAGTTGGCTAAGCCAGCCAGCCTGTCTTTCTCTCTCTGTCTGTCGCTCTGCTATATCTGTTTCTATCTCACATTGTTCGCTGATTTGAATACAATCGCAAGAATTTACACAAGCCCGTTTCAAGTTTTAGCGGCTTAACATTTGGCTTTTGGCTGCGGCTATTTATAAACGTAACGGTCGCTTCTGAGCCAGCGCCCAGACCAGCCTCAATTAAACTGAAGTTAGTCACAGAGGCAGTTGCTTAATGATTATGTGCCAAGGGCAAAAGCTACATCATTTCATGTTCACTTGATTTCTTCGCTTTGCCTGACTCTACGGCAATTACATGCAATACCATATAAAAAATACAAAAAATACTCAACAAAAAAAACTATAAACAACCTTTTTATTATATTTGCTTTCCCGCTTCCGAGCCCTGGCATCAACTACATTAAAAATTCCACTGCCTTAGTCACCTTTTCTTCAGCCTGACCGCATTTTATCAGCTTCTCTGCTTTGGCTTGCAAATTATTGTAATAAATATTTATAGCTTCTTTTGTCTGCCTAGGCCAATAAAGAAAGTAGAAACTGATTGACATTTTCAGGTAGCGCCGATGTGTGTCTGAGATCGTCTTAAAGATCTTGTTGGTTTATTATATATACATACATAGGTATATCCATATCCATATATATATTTGCGCATATTAGATTGTAGTCAAACCAGATACATTCATTGTGAGCTCATTAGCAACAATACTTGTATTTATTTATTTTATTCTATTTCTTCTTTTTTTGGCGCATTTAACAATGAATAGAATTAAGCTGGAACTGGTATTTGGTTGCTCAAAATATTGTATTTGTCCAGATACAATAAAAGTCTTATGCGATCTGATATAATTTTAAGCATTTCTTTCGAGCAATGACCATTATATAAGCAGTTTATGAACATTAAAAAGATTTATTCGATTTTTATGCGAAATTCAACTATAAACGAATCGGTAGCTACATTTTAATCATCTTTATAACGTATATGTACTTTCGATGTATTATAAATTGATGTTAATTGTTTAAATATATTGTTAATAAAATATCACTTGAACGATCATTCTATTTATTAGTAAGAGTTGAAGCTCAATTAAAAATTCCTCCATGTCTGTGCAATCGCTCAAGCCATTTCTTGCTGAATATTAATTGATATACCCTATATCTATGTATGTCATGAAATATTTTTATACATATATGTATATTACCCTTTTACAAACATTTCAAAATTCTGATTAATGACATCGAAGTGTTTTAACCCAATGACTGTATTTAAAATATCCAAACCTGATCCGGTAGAGCAACAATAATGCATATACCATATTTACACTCGGATACCTGATATGAGCCGATAAATGTTAACAGCAATATTTCGATCGAGAAATTGTAAGCACTTCGAATTCGAGAAATTGGAATGCTTGGCAATTTAATGCCTTGAGAAAAGTAGCATTGAAACAGCTAAGGAAATTCTTTAGGTATTACTGATCGAAGTGCAATTAAGGCACTCCAAATGAAGAACTGAGCCAGCTTAATATGATTTGTATTACACGAAAACTGTGAACAATTCATATCAACAAGTTCTTCAAATTCGTAAAATTCTGAACTGATCATTAAAATCACAAAAAAATTTCCATTGATAAGATTACTTTTTACAGCCTGAAAGGTATTTAATTTATGAGCAGAATATGCTTGAAACAGCGGATTGTCTTTGATCATATCTGATCATAACTGAATGATATATATTATGTATGATCATATTTTCATTTTAACTTAGCCCCAAGCCAAATTGCTGCTCATTTTCACATTATGCGCTCATTTTCCCATTGTTGCGATCATCATCTAATCGTAGTAGCATCTAGCTTGAGGCACGATCGCAAGTTACTCAATCATTCGACAGAAAAGCGCTGCCTCTGTGCCTGCGAGCAGCTGGAAAAGTGAGAGTTTCCCCTTGGCCATCTGGCGGATCTGATTAATGAACGCAAGTCCCCGCCAGGCCAGCTAAACGATCGCTTGGGACAAACTGAGTCGCCGACTTCTGAAGAAGTCAAATGGGTTACAAAGCAGAGTCCGAACGTAACAAAACGCGCGACATTAACACACTTTTGTCGTTTTGTGACTCTTTGTTTTTCATCGTCTGTCTTTTAAATACCCTATATTTTGAAAGAGCATTATGATTTTATCAAATCTATCACTATCATATCAAAAATTGAGCTAAAATCTGTTGAAGAGGATTGAGATTTGATGTTTTGGAAATAAATACTTTTACTTATATTGTCGTATATTTTATCGATATATATCGATATTATTATACACTTTGAAGGACCTACTTTGTCATACATGTACAAGAAAATACTACTTATTTTGTTCCTTATCTATTATTGACATGATTCAAGAACGATCTAATGAAATTTCAATGTTTCTGATTTGATAAGACTAATTTTCTACCCTATATGTAGCATAAATAATAATTTCTTAGATTTCCAATAATATATTTTTCATAAAACACTTCAGCTAGTCAAATCTACCTTAGACATTCAAGAGAGTATTTAATTTTTGTCACACCTGAGGTTTAATTTATTATTTCTTTTACTTTTTTGCCGTCTTGGCTTGGGTTGGGTTTCTTTGATTGTCTTTGGCTTTCGCACGATTTCTAATTTAATGTTGGCTTAAATCTTTACTTTTTAGTTATTTCTTTTGCTTGTGATGCCACATGAAATGCTGCCCACGTCTTCCGCATTTCTCTGCAGGTATAAAGTGTTGCAAAATCTGAGTTTCTTAATGCTTCACATTCTTGCACGACTCAACTGATGTATCAGACCCTGAGTGAATACATTATCTGGGCAACTATATCAATTTAATTGCTTGTCAGCGTCAAGTTACGGTTCTTTTGCCATTTGCCATTTACCATTATTTGACTTAGCTTGGAGCTTGGATCTTTACTTTTTATATACAAAAGGTTTTTTTTTTTTTTGTTATTCTGTCTACAATTTTTCGGACCAATGACCGACAAAATACAAATCCGCCAAATGTGAGGGGCCAAGCAACATGAAACAAATAGCAACAACAACACAAACAACAATAGCAGCAACAACTGTGAAAAACCACAAAAACCGGAATTCTTCAAGTGATCTTTTCGTTCAATCGACACAAAACTGTATATGTATGTATGTGTAAAAGAGCAAATGTACTGTAACTTCAGTTCCCCCTTGCTCTACCACTCAGTCCGTTATAGGTCTCTCCCTCTCTTACTGTTTTACAGATCTGCGTACCTTGGCACGCCCACGGACTGCAACAAACAGGAGTCGATTTTTTTTTTTTTTTTTTTGTTTAATACACTTTCACTTTTTGTTTTTATTTTTCTTGCTTGGTTTTTTTTTTCTCTTCTTGTTGCTTTTCAAGAATTCTCCAAGCCAACAGCAATTCGTAGAAACCGCATTGCTTGTCGCTTGCCTTTTCTACATAATTTCTGGTTTATAGCCGGGTTTCGATCTTTTTGGTTTTGTAAACAACACAGGGGAAATAAAATTGGTTCATTCGCTTGGCGTTTCGTGTTGGTTTTGCTGTGGACTTATAGAATGGGCCGCAAGGAACAATGAACCACAGACAAAACAATAGATAATGTTTATATGTTTATGTAATTGCCTTGTTGAAAATAGCGCAAAAAAAAACTTTAAATAAAACGTCTTTAAAGGCTGTGTAATTGTTGGAATGCGGCTATTATGTCTACAAATACATACACACACTTTAGTGCGTGAGTGTGTGTGTGAATGCTTGAGTATTAATATTATTTCTTCTACTTTTCATGCTCCTCTTTAAAGTGGGCTGCGTTGTTGTAATATTCCACGCGCGACGAAGCGTGCATACAATATGCAAAAACAAAACACAAGAGTTGCAGCCGAACGACACGAATCACGCTGCACGCACGAGCACGCGAACGAAACACGAGTTTCTGTGTGTGTGTGTGTTTTTTCTACAATATTATTTTTGCAGGCCGAGCGCGCATGCGCCTCGCACGTTCACTTGCTCCGCTGGCTGCTGAACGAATGATTCCCGCTGTGAGTCGCACAGCCAGCGAATGACAGACAGTGAGAGATAGAGAGAGAGAGAGCGAGCGCAAGCATGAGATTGAGCGTGAATTGTTTGGGGGATGGCCAGAGAGATCAGCACCAGCTGAGCAACAACAGTGTCTGCGCGGGTGAGAGAGAGATGCTGTGCAAAAACATGTGTGAGAGTGAATAAGCGCACACACATACACACAGTCACACATGTGTGCATATGCAGGTAAAACGTAAACGAAAACAAGTGCGTCGATAGACAAGGTCGACTCGCTAAACAGCTACACTTAACTGATACGCTTCTTGTACTCACTGATAGCTCGTAGCTCAACAAATGATATGAGTTATTCAATTAATTATGCCTATACTCAAGTGAATAAGTGTGTATATGAGTATTTTAATTAATAAAGAGATTTGTTATGAACAATATATATATTTTATATATGTATATATTTGTTTTCAATTTTAAATACTTGTATAAAGTGATAGTGGATTCCAATATACAATATGTATACAAAGACTTTTCTTAAAGAGGTGAAACTATATAATATATTCATATATAATATATTGTAAGCATTACATTTCATAAAATAATAGATATATAACAAATCGAGTTTCTACGTGTTGATTGCTATTGACAGTTATTTCTTTCTTTTGTATAGATTATATATTATATATTATATTACCAAATCAATTGCTACTACTGTATGTCAGACACATGAAAAGCTTTTAATCAGCTGCTATTTATGCCTCTAAATGAATTCGTTATCTATTTGTTGAATGTACGTAAATGTACTCGCCTTATCGCTGTATTATAAACCCAAGTGCCATATCTCTGAATACTCAAGTATCACTATGCTTCATTCATGCAATTGGCAGCGTATACATGTTGCTCACTCAGCCGAAACACTCACGATATTTGCACATCTGCAGTTCAGAGAGTATCGATCATGCTCTTGCGCTGCCTCTCTCTCTCTCTCACACACACACACTCTCTTTGTTGCTTGCAGCAGCAACAGCTGCCATGACATCTGTTGTATGTATTATTTTTTTTTTTTGGCTCCCGAGTTGTTGCAGCCGGCTTTCAAGTGCGGAGGTTGCACAGATTAAGGAAGCAACTGTCGACGCTGTTGCATGATCATCAGCAACAGCATCATTATGAATCATCATTTGGTTTCAGTTTTTATGAGGAAGCACAATGTTAACTTTCTTCTTCTTGATTTTGGCACTCGGTCTGCGACTTTTTAATTTATACATAATGCAATTAGCTTTGTTGCTGCCGCAATTAAATGCGAAAAAAAAGTGCTTGAATTAATTCGACTACTAAATTAACACGAATAGCAAACAACCGCAGCCAATCCTAAACTCGAATCTAAATAAATTCAAGCATTGGCGTGCAAATATTTAAAACAACAATTAGAAATAAGCACACCCAAAAAAACAGAAACGAAATTGAACTAACAAATCCGAGAAACAAAACTTTTAGATACCCTGTAGTTACATAGGTATTCTGTAGATGAAAAAAACTAGATTTTTTGAAGAGATTCGTATAAATCACTTTGAGTATTATAAGGGAAAACTTAAGGACAATAAATAATTAAAAGTATATATAAGTATATAAGCATATCAAATATGGATTATCGTGTTTGTTGAAATATACATTTTAGTCAACACAAATATATAAATATATTATTATTTATCTGATACTTATATGTATCTACATGTTTGATTTTTAATAATATTTTATGTAACTACCAAATCATAGGAATTACTTTAAAAAAATCATTTTTTTTTTAAACTTTGCCTCTCATTGAAATGTTCTGAAACTCTATCCCATCCACATTTGACATTCGCACAGGGTATACGAAAAATTGAAAGGAAAACTCTGAAAACTAAATTTAGGAGCTGCTGCCAGATCGCTGACATTTCGCTGCCAGCCCCAGCCAAGCCAAGCTTGTGAACTTCTCGACACGCTCTGTGCTCTGTGCTGAATGCTGTGTGGGTGTGTGCACTGCAAGGCATGCGCATTTCTGGGAGGGCACTGGAGCCAGCTGCGCGTGCGCTGCCAAAGTAGGCGCTACTTATCTGCCACAACGAGTGGCACGATCGGCAGACGGAGCAGGCGTGGGCGTCTAGAGCAGACAGCCCAATGCCAAGTGAGGAGCCGAAGTGGCAGCAGGCCATACAAAAGTAAATACTGCAGTTGCAATTAATATACATTGAATATTTTCTATTGCATACTTATGGGCGGCACTGTAAAGTGAGCCCATTTCAATGCAGTTCAAGCTTTGCATACTTCAAAGTGTCAGCTACGTTAGTTAATTTATATTTAAATTATATGAATATTTAATAATCATTTTGACATACCCATTTGGAAGATAGCTGGCAGCTGTCTCAGAAATATTAAGAGTAGATAACAGTGTCTATGAAATTGTTCCTTTAGAGATTTCACAATTTTGCACAACACTAAAAACATTGCGAATAAATTTTACACGGCTTTCAGCGAAATGTTTGCAACTTAGCGAATTTGTTTTGAAAATTTGTAAAAACGTTGTCTTTTTCTTTGTATTATTTCATTTTGACTGTTGGGTGTGTACTGTGGTATTTATCAAATCAATTAAAATCGATTTGAGAAAATTATAAAACTGTATTAGCTGTAGAACTTTCTGAACACAATGTATTTTGTGTATATTGAAACATTTTCTAAAATGATATAAAAATTTCTAATATTTGACAGAAATGGCTAATCAACATCACTCATAAGAAAGTAACAGTTGCAAAAGTTGAAAAGCTCTAGGCATTAAACTTCAACTTGAATGGATTCATTTTCTTCTATGAAAAAGACCATTTGCTTAAGATCTGACATCCTTAATGTATCAATAGCACAAGCAATCTATCATTGCAGTTGTCTTATCCTAATCAAAGAAATCGATTTCAACATTCAAATTCAGCTATATATATATTATTAAAAACCTTTTCCCTTTATTACTTTGTCCTTCCAAGCTCTATCAGTTTCAGTTTTTGTCCACTCATGGTATGTAATTGTTATTAATAATAAATAAAAAAAGTATACATTGTCTCACCTTCCATAACATAGACAATGCTGCCGACATCTCCCTCCTTGATGATTAGATTCTTGGCTGGATATTTGACCGGATACATGCAGTCGACTATTTCGCGTATTTGGGCCAAGTCCAAGTTTTTCATGAAGTCGTTATCCAAAATGGCCGCTTTGATAAGTTCACGGGAGCTGTCAATAGATATCAAATAGATATGGATAAATGTTAGGCCATAAATTAGTTACGCTTGAGGTAAGTACGAATATGGTAGCCCAACTGTCAAATGGTTACGTCCCAAAAATGATCAGTTGTGGTCTTAACAACTATTCTGCACACTTGCCGCTGACAAAGTCAAAAGGCCAATTAATTTCGCGACTGACACATATAAATCGTTTTTTATCTGCTTCGCCACTTTGGCTTACATCGAATGCAACAAGTTGTACGCAAAAAAAAATAAATAAAAATAACAAATATATTTTATAAAATTGCAACAAATTTGAAAAATGCAAGAGAGGTAGGCGTAGATGATTGCAGGGAAGGGGAAAAGATGGGGGAGAGGCTATGCCATGTGCCAAGTGCCATGTGCTGCCTGTAAATGTCAAATGACTTTATCTGTCAGCACAATTGACAACCAACCAGGCAGCCAGACAGCCAGACAGCCAGAGAGCCGGACAGTCAGGCTTAATCGACTTGGGCCGATTAATTAAAGCCAAGTCTTGAAATCGGGCGTAACACACTTGTCGTCGTTGGTCATCCAATTTGTAAACTCTGGCAACGCTGCGCATGTGCGTAGACATAAAAAAAATTAGCCATAGCCAGCCACGATAGTGGATGATGAGTTAGACAGCAGCACAGCCACAGAGCCAGCCATCCAGCCAGGTCGACAACGGACAACAAGCTGTGCCGCCTGTTTGGCCGGTAATCACATAGTTTTGGCACAAACACACACACACACACACACACACACACGCCAAACAACACTTACAATTAAAATATAAAAATTTAATAAACATACAGGCTACTCGTTACCAGCGATAGTTGCGCACCTAACGACGCAGGTTAGAGTCCACAATAATACACTACTCGAAATAGCCGACTATGTTTGATATATATACAACTTTCCATTCCATTAATGTATTTTATTATAACTGTTAGTTAAACTTCCCAGGTTTTGATCTATACGATCTCCACTTTAATACATTTTCACTAATAAAATAATAAATCAAAATCTTGTTAAGCTGACTTTTTATGGGCCCAGAGAATGGTACTCTTCTGCATGGAAAGTTAAATTAGATGGTTATTTTAAGGATTTTAACTGGAGTCAAAGTACTTTTACATTAAAAACAAGTTCTAAAGTCCTTCAAAAAGCTGCCTCATATTTCATATATAAACTTTATAGAACACACTCAAGCTTTTCGAACAGTGTAATCATCGTAGATGGCTGTAAGATTTAGCTGTTGCCACAGTCTTCGTTGCCTAGGAAGCGACCAATTTATTTTGGCAACCTGCAAGCGCCGTCTTTTATTACATTTTTTACGAAAGAAAAATGCGTATTAGATTTCCACTAGCCGACCGAAAGTATATTGTGGGTAATCGAAACAAGTTCGACGCCAAGAGTTCGATGTGGTGCGTGGCTGTGGCAGCAACACCCGCGGCGCTATTCCGACGCCACAAGACGCCTTTAAATACTCTAACATCAAGGTGTTTCAAAGTTTATTAACTATTGTAGCAATAGGAAAGAATTGTTGAAAATTCGACAAGTTTTTTTAAGCATTAAGTTTGAAAACTAGAAGTAATGTAATATAAGTTATGTTATAAATAATACCAGGCATAAAAGATATTAATTAATTATGTATCCCTGTATTGCATAGAAATTTAAGAATGATTTTACTTGGGCAGTCTGCGTAATATAGAAAAACTTCAAGCTTTTCTTTCAAAAT